CACACAGCACATGCCCCTGAAGAATTTGGCTGACTGCTCAAAAGGAGCATGGAGAGTCCCAGGGAAATACACCCTCTGTGCACCAGAACTCGTGAAGAGATTTATTCTTTTCCTTGTTGCTGTTGGTTTATCTACATCTTTCTTTTTTTTGTTTTTGTCTATTTCTTTTCTCTTTTTAAGTATTCCTCATTCAGAACCAAATTCTGTCAGATTCTGAAGAGGATATCTAACTCTTCAATTTGAGAATTAAATGGAGCAAAGGCCTGTGAAAAAGTAAATGATTTGTTCTCCTTTTGTTCAGGAAGGCAGTCTAAGACCTGTGAATGTCTGAAATGGACTTGTTCTCCATATTGGTCCTGAATATTAAGAAAGATATAACTGTGTTCTAGAGAGATTTTTGCTTTTTCCAAAACACTTCATGATCTCTTTTAAATGGAAGAGGAGTGGAGAAAACAGGATGAAAAGTGGCACAACTGCCAACATCCTTGGTCTAGAGAGCTGATTTCCTTCACCATTTAGAATGCAATTGTAAGCCTAAATACAATGAAAAGTAACCTGATTTCATAGCTCAGTAATCCATACTTAGTGGTTGGCAAAGATCTCTTATAGCTGTTATATCTTGTAGTGGTATGATTTTTAAAATTACAATAATAATGTTACTTACAGCTGATCTGAGCTACTCTACTCTTGAGCATTTCTTAAGCAGAGCTCTATGCTTGAGGAGCATAGAGCAACTTCTCTGATATGGGTAACTTTGCATCCACTGCCTCCTTTCCCACAGGAAGTTCCCTTTTAATCAAAATGAGTGCCATGGTTTAGCTCCAGCCAGCAGCTAAGGACCATGAAACCACTTGCTCACTCCTCCACCAGTGCGATGAGGGAGACGAATTGTAAGGACAAAAGTGAGAAAACTCAAGGGTTGAGATAAAGACAGTTTAATTGGGAAACCAAAAACCATACACGCAAACAAAGCAAAACAAGGAATTAATTCACTACCTCGCATGGGCAGGTGTGTGTTCAGCAGGTCTCCATCACATGTAACAGTTACTTGGAAAGACAAACTCCAGAACTCCAAACATCTCCTCTTCCTTGTTCTGCCCATGACTTCGTATGCTGAGCATGATGCCATGTGACATTCTATTTGGTCAGTTGGGGTCACCTGTCCCAGCTGTACCTCCTCCCAAGCGCTTGTGCACCCTCAGCCTTCTTGCTGGTGGGGCAGTATGAAAAGCACAAATGCCTTGATGTAGTACAAGAACTGCTCAACAATAACAGCAAAAAAAAAAAAATATCTATATTGTCAACACCATTTTTGGCACAAATCCGAAACACAGCCCCATACTACCTACTGTGAGGAACTTAACTCTATCCCAGCCAAAACCAGCACCGTGCATCAGAAGCCTCCTGAAAGTTACATGAGGTACCTGGAGTCCTTCTGCCATTGCTGATGCTGGTGGCACTTGACTTTTTGTCTAATTTTTTTATTTTATGTCAAGTAGGTGGAGTGGAGTCTTTGTTTTGCAATTCTTTGGATATGGCAGGAATTCTGGAAAGAGCTCACTACCTGATGACCAGTATGTATGGGACTGGTCCAGCAGTCAAGGGTTGGAAGCACCAACTGAGGAAAAGGAAAATGCGCTATTTAGGCTTTTGAATAAAAGGCTGAGTACCGTTACTAAGGCTCAGAAACTGCTATTCCTTGTATCCTAGCTGTTTCCATCTTCTCAAGAAGCAGCAGTTATCAGGCATTCAAGTCCAGTAAGACACTATCTTCAACAATGAACTGTGACTTGTGAAGGTCACTGAGTACAGGGAGAGCCAGGCCTATGCTTCTCCACAGATAGTGTTGGGCACCACCTGTTTCTGAAAGCAAAGTGAGCTCACTGTTCCCCTTCAGCATCAGCTGGGCTCTAACCAGGGGTGGAAGGTTTACTCCTTTCAAAAGCTAGGAGGCAGGAGGGGCTGAAAAGTCTGAAGAGTTTCCATAGACCTGACTTGCACTTAGTTAAAAACAAAGTCTAGACGGGTAATTAACCAAGATAGGCATACTGCAAGGCTGCCAAGAGCCTTTCCTAAGTCAGTGACAGGATAATTTGGTTCATGGCAGAGTTCTGCTTGGGAGGTGATGTTTTTCATCTGTTGTAATTTTTAAAATGAATGGTGTGTATATCCAAAGACTAATGATGCGCATGCTTTGGCCGGGACACGCTCAGTTAATTCATAAAGTATTACAAAGAAGCTTGATCATATGCTCTTTCAGAACTATTATCCATTTTTTGGAGGTGATCTAGTTATTTGTTTGAATGCTTTAGTTCTGAGTTAAAAGACGTGTCCAGGGGCTATGACTGAAAGAAGGCTGGTCCTTTGTAAAGTCAATAGTTTATTTACCAACTAAGAATAATGCACACAGGAAGGTGTTTGAAGATGTTAGCAATGCTTTTAGTTAGCTGAAGATGGCATTTAGATCTTGATCATGGGATGTTTATTCCTTAGTTTCACTAATGAAATCACGGGCCTCTTTTCATGGTAAAAGTAAAGGTGAGATGCAGTGGAAAAAAGCAGAGACTGTACATTCACCTCTTTGAGGGAGAGACGAAAAAATCCAAACCATCAGCTGAGATGACTGCGTGCCTTGTTAAAAAACAAGCCAAAGTAACAGAAAATACACTCAAAGATGCTAAGTTTCTTTTGCCCTAAAGCTTTTTAATGACACTTTTTTAAGAAGTATCTCCTACCTGCACCTTAACCATTGGTAAGGTGAACTATTTTCCTTGCTAAATGCACTAAAAATTTGGACAGATTACTTTGTTTCTGTCAGGAATAAATAATATTTTGAGTCCCACCCTATCTTCGCAAGACCTCCTCTTTACTGTAAATCTCCATAGTCTATTGAATTGTCTCATTATTTAATACATTCTTCATTCTACTTGGATGCATCAAATTAAGGGGGTTGCTTTTCTCCATGCTTGAACCTGACTCTACCATCCTCTCTGCACCGCTGCTACAGTGACTTCTGCTCAGCCTGTAAGGGCACCGCTTTATTCTTTGCCAGTGCCCGGGAATCGCACCTTTCCCTTTCCCGGGGCTTGGTAAGATGCAATGCTCACAAACTGCACATTTTCCGTGAAGAAACCCGCATCAGACTACATTGCAGCTGATGACGAGAGGAAATCGTTGCAGCCTGGGACTGGGAAGGGACATCCTCTGTCACTGTCAGGACGAACAGTAACGGATAAAAACAGTAATTCAAGTCAATTCAATTCCTGTTTTACAGAGCTTTCCTATGGCCATGTGTGGGCTCCCGGACAGGAAAGCAGCCCAGACAAGCTAAGAGGCAGGGAGATACCCTTCCGAACGGATGCTGCAAACACTCGGCAAGCTGACCGACGGTAGATTTGTGCTAAGGAGGAGCGGACTTCTCTTGTTGTCTTTTTTTTTTTCCCGTTTTTAATGACGATATCACACTATTTTCACAGATCATCCAGCTGCATAACTGGATCGCAAAGAGTTAAAATGGAGGGCAGAACCTGTATTTTTAAAACTACATGCAACAAAGTTCATTGCTTGAAGTCCGGGTCCCTTCTACCCCCTTCTACCCCTCCCTAGTTTCCAGTAATTATTTATTATAAAGGGGTTTTATGATACAAATTTGATAATCTCCCATACACATTGGCACTGTTCTAATTGGACTTGTAAGCCCATAAAATTCAAGCCCTTTGTTTTCATGAAGGCCACAAGGTTTTAAAAGATGCTATTGTACCGCCTAAAACCCATAAAATTGTCACTAGGGACTGATTAAATAGTCCTGAATTGAAACAGTGCGGATTTTGTCTAGGTCCTTTTCATGCACAACAATGCTCTTTTCAACCCCCAAGACAAAAGGAGGTTTAAGGAGCGATTCTCTGGGAGATTCTTCTAAGATAACCCCATCCATATGGGAGACAAGGTGGCCAACAGCTGAGACGAAAAAAAAAAAAAGATTTCGGATGACAAGAGGAAAAATAAAGGGAAAGACAACAACAAAAATCAAAACTCTCCAACCAACTAATAAAACCAAACCCAGGTGATACAGAAGCTATGTTTCCCCAGGTCCTTCCCGCACATCCCAGAGACTTGGGCCGCTCTGCGCCTTCCTCTTGGCACACGGCCCCCTATCCAAGCACTGAAGGAGATGCAGGTGGGAGGACCGGCTTCCCTGGATTCTCCCCGGACCGTCCTGCACTGCAGTTGGGTCTGATCCCTCCGCACTGAGGCTAGAGGCCCCCCACCTGGAGGGGGCGCGGCCCGCTGGGGAAGGTTAGGCTGGGAGGCTAGAGGGGTCCTCTTGCTGCCACCATCGCGACGGGGGAGGCGACCAAAAGCACACGCGGACATACGGGTGCTTTTGGCCGCCTCTCCCTGCGCGACGGCGGCGCCTCTCAGCCTTGCTCCCCGCGGGCTCTCCGGCATGTGTAGACAGCACGGCACATCCCAGGGGCACATCTCGCCCGAAGTAACCTCCTTCCAGGGAATAAAATAAAAAATAAATATTAAAAAAATCCACCCAAATATCTTCTGCGGGTCCCTTTTCCTCGACAGACTTTCCTCTGCAGGCAGGTTGTCTGCATCAGACCCCGTGGGGTCTTTGCCCCAAATATTCCCTCCGCATTCCTGATCCGCAGGTCCCGTCCGAGAGACCTGGGTTTGGCTTTGTGGGATTTTTTTTAGGGTTTTTCCCCATTGGCTGTTGCCAGGACAATTATCTTATTATTTTCACCCCAAAGTAATAAAATCGATAGTTCATCAAAGAGTTTCAAAGAATCTCTTGGCTACAGTCGATATTTGGAACGGTCACAGGCTAACGAAAAGATTGGCTTAATTCTGGATGCTGCCTTTGCTTTTTAAGCGGCAATGTCTTTTTTTAGAGCCGCTAAGTCGGGGAGACGCTGGGCTTACGCTTCCCGTAGGAATTATAACCAAGCTTACAGTGAGATGCTTACGGCAAACTTTATTCGCCCTTTACCGGCGCATGTAGATAAAATAAACGAACTTGAAAGTTAAATTCGGCTGGCGCAATCAAGACAAGTATTTAAGCTTTTTATAGCACAGGAGGCAATTCTACGACACAGTCCCAATCGTCAAAACTACTCTTCTCCGTAGAAAAAAATTAATTGCCAAAACCAGTTTTATTAGTCACTGGAAGAGTCAGCTATTTTAAAATACACTATGTCGCTAGGATGGTCATTATTTTGTAACTAGGAATCTCTCGAAAAGGAGCAGGAGGAGCGGAGGTTTTACAAAATTCGCGCCTCACGCGGCATCCGCGCCCTCGGGCGAGACCGGAGGAGGGGAGCATGGCCCGGGCCAGCTTCGTTCCGGCCCGCGGGCCACTGCCCCGGAGCCGCGCTCCGCCGCCCGGCCCGCCCGAGCGCGGCCTCCGCGGTGCCCCGGCGCGCCTCGGCGCTTCCCCGCGCTAGAGCCTGGGTCTGGAGCGGGCCGCCCCGCGTCCGTGGGATGAGTCCGGTCCCAGAGGGCGAAGCGCCGCTGTCACCATCCCCAGGAGACGACGGCGGGGTGCGCTAAGTGCTGGTACGCGGGGAAGACGCCGAGGGCGGCAGCGGGCGGGCAGGTTCCGTAGCCCTGCAGGGCGAGGGCGGCCTGGGCGCTGCATCCCGCCAGGGCGCAGCCCAGCTTGGGCCGTGGGGTGGGTGGCGGTGGGCTAGCGGGGCAGCCGCGGCAGGGCTCCCCATCCCGCACCAGCACCGGTACCACCACCCGGCGCAGCAGGGCGGGCGGGCGCGGCGGGGGACTGCCGGGACCTTCGCTGCGCGCCCGCTTCATCTTGTAGCGATGGTTCTGGAACCAGATCTTCACCTGCGTGGGGGTGAGGCTGAGCAGGCGGGCCAGTTGCTCCCGCTCCGGAGCCGAGAGGTACCGTTGCTGCCGGAACCGCCGCTCCAGCTCCAGCGTCTGCGCCTTGGAGAAGAGCACCCGCCTCTTCTTCTTCTTCTCCTCGGCCTCCGAGCCGCGGACGGGAAGCGACCTTTGGGTGGAGTCAGGCAAGCTCATCTCCGTGCCGCTCTCGTCGGAAGCTGGGGACAGCGAGAGGGTTAGAGAGAGGAGGCAGCCGGGCCCGGGGAGAGGGGCAGGCATTGAGGAAGCGATGGGCCGCCGAGAGCCGAAACGCCTCTAGCAGGGAGAGCTCTGACTGTTTACCGGGCCGGATTAATCCCAGCAGTCAACAAGAGATGTGAGCCAACCCCTCCAAATACATTAAACCAAGCCCACGGGACAAACCGGATTGTGTCCCCGCCAGCAATCCCCGCAGGGGCATGAGCGCTCCGCCGCGCACAGCATAAGAGCTTGCGGACTGCTAGCCGTCGTGTTGCCTCCGTGCTGAAGCAGAATATGGGACTGCCCGGTCCTTTCATAACTACTTTTCTCCCTCCGCTCGATTACCTTAGTATTTAACTTATCCCGATGGGGTTCCCGCACCCATTCAAAGGATGATTTTCCCCCGTGCACACAGAGGTAGACAATAAACGCCGTATATCTGCGGCACAATTTATGTGTGCGAGGTGCGATCAATATGCTACGCAGCTGGGTTTGCGAACCGCAGCCTGCCCTCTACGGTGGAAGGTGCGTGGATCTAGGCGGTGGCGCCCAGGGGACTCCGCCGCAGTGCCGGGAGTCCGCGCACGGGGTGTGTTCTCAGCTTTCCTCTGCGGAGCGTGGGGTGACCTGAAACCCCTCCAGCACAAAAAAGGCAGGATTTCTTGCAACAGTGAAACGGGGGAAAAAAATAATCCAGGAAGTGGACTTAAACGATAAACACAGAGAGACTGGTGAATACAGCCTGAAGTTTTGCTTTCTGTCATAGCTGGGGACATACACAGACTTACAGGAAAAAAAAATCTTTTCTCTCTTAAGCTCGTGGTCGGGACGTTTCTGCTGTTTCATTGTTGCAAGTCAGTAATATTCTATAATATTCCCAGCCTCGATCCCCCTGATCCTGTAGGCTACTTACGGTGGCAATTCGCTTCTTCGCATCTTCCCCAAAGGAAGCGGGGAAACAAATAACAAATAACCATGCGGAGATGGCAAATTCCTGTCCGTTTCATACTCACAGGGATAGTGATTTCTGTCTGTTTCTATCCACCCTCGGTACGGCGAGCCGGTGTAGTTCTCCGCTGAGTGGGGATGCTCAGAGGCTTGCTTTATGCTATTAGCATCTTGCTCTGGTAAATCCAAAATGCTCCTCACTGTAAAACTGATCCTGCTGGATGTGGCCATGGTAGGTTGTGCACACCCCCCCAAGAAATATCACCCCAAACCGAACCCCCTTTCTTAAAAGCTGCTAGGAAAGATCCGCGCCTGGTTACTGCGGAATCTCCGAGCTCAAAAGGACCTTCCTTTCCATCGCCACCTAACCCCAAATATTAGTGTCGTTTACAGAGGTGTCCTGTTTATATAAACAGTCCTCCCCACTGCAAACACTGCCTGCTTTCAAACCGTCCCTGTCTATAGGATGCTAAGTACCTGAATTAGTCAAGTGCTAAAGCCCTAATGGGAGTAGGTGTAACCCCCCTCTCCTGCCACCCCATGAGAGAATAACCCGTTACCTCCCAAAGACAGCAGGAAACAGGCTTCATCATTACATATTCTGTCTGATTAGCCAAAAGTGCGGACAGATAATGGTAATTGTTAGCAGTGAATAACATCTTGGGTGGCATGTGGATGACCAACAACCACCCCCCTCCACCCGCCACCAAAGCCACCAGCGTCCCTTCTATCCGCAGACAAAGTGAATCCTCTCAGGACATCCGCAGAGCCTGCCGAGAGCCCCCTTCCCGCTTCTCTGTCTTTATTTTCCCCTCTCTCCCCTCTTTCTTTAAACCTGGAAGGAATTTAAGTCGTTATTTGTTTTATTTCCCCAGGCTGTTTGCAGTGCTACCTCTAGTTCTCTCTCATGTTATTGGCATGTTTCCTACACTCAACGGGGCATTTTTCACACCTCGACTGAGCTCTCGGCGAGGAAGGCTGGCGGATGTGTGCATTGAGGAATGGGACCTCTGGGTTGGTTTTGTTTTTTGGGGGGTTGGTTTTTTTGGGGAGGTTGGGGTTTTTTTTTCCTCTCTCTCCTGGGTATGGTAGATGGAAGGTGCACCTTTCTCTCAGGAAGGGTGATGGCGGGAGCTTGGCACAGTCTGTCCATAAGCAAGAGTAGGGGCGTGGAGTAGGGGAGATCTTTTAACATCCTTTCGTGTTGTACTAACCCAGGGAATATCCCATCGGGCGAGATGTGTGAGTTATTCAAACGATTCCAGCTGGGAAGAGGGAGAAAAGATCAAACATGGCGTGCCCATTTATCTGCGCGTCTCCCGTCACTGCCGACCGCCGTTTCATCTGCCAAAAGTGGCAGCAAACGATCCTGGAGACCGGCGCCCCGCGTGAGGAGGGTGCTGACACTGGCTCGGCACGGTCCGGGGACGACCGACGGCAGCTCCCGGGGACAAGCGCCTCCTCGCAGCCTTCGCCTCCTCGCAGCCTTTCAACGGGTGTCCCCATCCCCCCGCGAAGCTGCGGTCGGTCTTTGCGAGGACTTACAATAAAATACGATACAGAAACATGCAGCCCGGTGTGGCGTTCAAATTCAAACCCGCAATGTCAGGGCTCGGTCCCCAGCCGCAGGGTAGGGGCAGAAGTGACCAACGGGGGCGATGTTCACGCGGATCGCGCAGCGTGGGTCAAGCCGTGGGGCCGGAGGGGGAGGAGGCGGGACACGCTCCCCACTCGCACGCCGCAGAGGCCTTCCCCAGAGCTTCCCGCCGGCTTCACGGGAGGCACCCAGCACCCAGCTAGAAAACCAGTGGAAGGCGAGTCCAGCTGGATGGAGCAAAGTCTGGAGGGCAGGAGGCACCCAACAGATCAGCCCTCCTTTGAAAGCGGATCGAGGCGCACACAGCTCACCCCCGACGGGGAGATGGGGCGAACCCTGCACTGAGCTCCTTGAAACAGGAATCCAGATACATGCACAGATACTTTTCTATCTGGCCGCTTTGTCGGTTCGAATCTCCCTGTCCAAACAGGCGTCTATAAGCTATTGTGTATAGATTATATTTATCCAGCCCCTCTCTCGCCCCCCAGACCCGCTGCCCGCCTGCCCCCGGCCGCTACCTCCCCTCCCCGCCCTGCTCCGGGTGTCGCTTCTGGGAGCAGTTACACTTTTCGGGGAAAATGTCAATAGAGCAATAGTGACAAGGGAGAGGTGAGATTTATTTCGGCGAGATTTGTGGGTGAGATCAACGGGGCACAAGGCTCCATTTGGCCAACTTCCCGCATATTTCTTCGGGACTCGACAGGCTCCATATAAACGATTCCCAGGCCGTGATTACTGCAGCCACCTATCAAGCGTGCCTGGTGACAGTAGTTATCTCCCCGCTCCGAGCACAGCCTCACAGCCATCCTGGGTGGTCGGAGCGAGGGGAGCACAAATACATGCCAACTGCTAGGCCGTGAACAAAAGGGAAATGTAGCCCTATGTCCCGGACCTGTTGGAAGCATTTGTTCCAGTCAAGATTTTGCATTTGTTCAGATCTGGAATAATAGGTGATTGACGCCTTCCCACAATGTGCTTTAACTCTCCGGGATAAATCGCAGCTTGTTCCTTGTTGTCATGGTTTTCAATAGGGTTCAATGGGATTGAACCACTATCGACTCTGCTTTACGTCTCCGGCAGCCCCGTCCATACAAATTTATTAGTTACGTCTTTTTAAATGAGATTAAATTGAAACGACGTGTCCGTCCTCGGCGGAGCGGCTACTCCCGCGGCCGCCCCTATGTCCCCTCCGGCCCCGAGTGCCCGTGTCACCACCGGGGCAGCCCACGGCCGGCGGGGAGGGGCGCAGTTGGCGCCGGCCCGGCCCCCCCGGCAGCCAGGTACGGCCGCGCTCACCTGCCCCGGCCCGGTCGGCAGCGCCGCCACTGCCCTGCGCTCCCGAGCACTCCGGGTATAAAAGGCGACCGAGAAGTGCTTATTAATATCTTGACCCCCCAGGCAAATATTTGCTGGATGCCTGCGCTGGAGCGTAGTTTCGGGGGGGGGTCGACTAGAAGAGGGGAGGGGGCCAGAGTTCAGACCGCCACAAACTTATACAGTATCTGAGGTGGCTCTTAAGAAGAGTTTGCCAAGGACATTCTAAAGAAAGTACAAAAACTTTGCAAGGAAAAAAGTCAGGATGAGAGAAAGAGAGTCTACTTCAGTGACCTCTCTTAGCCTTTTAATCTATTTAACATCCTAAGCCCACACTGATGTGTAGAAATAAGTAAATGGTACTCTTCTAGCCTTAAGAGCTCTTCAGCATCAAATATTTGCACTTACTCTTAGAGTTTTTCTCAAATAGCGCAAGACACATTCCCCTTGGACGAGCCGAGCTGTCTAAATATACCTACACAGTGTTATCTGCGGGAAATGGTTGGCTTCAAAGGGAAAACGTAATAACCTGAAATGTTTCATCTCTTGTTTTGCTTGGGACTGACGTGGATACTTTTCAGCTCTGACTGCACGGCCTCCTTTCGTGGTTTGCCGGTTCAGACTTCATCCTGTCCCGCCACACTTCCGCATGGGGCTGGGGGGACACTCTCCCTCCCCGGACCCTGGACCTGCAGTTCCCCTGGGGACGGCATCCTTTGACCGAGGGGTGGGTTTGCCGCTCACCCCGCTGCACAGGCCGTTAGGACCTGGTGTCCCCGGCATCCCACCGATAGCCATTTCTTCCCTGACGGCATCCATGGGGACGAGACGGGGCAGGCGTTTCTCCAGGGATGCTAAAAGTAAGCGACAGCGCCCACCCATGTGCTCCACCAGCCGATGCGGTGGGGAGCTATAGCAGCCCGTCTCTGTGGGCTCACGGGCTGAGACCATGTTCGACCTCGGTGGAAGCGTATGGTTGCGCTTGCCCGACCACTTCCGTCCCTCCAGATAAATCCATAAAAACACTTTGGCTCCTCTGCCCGTTTAAATGAATTTTCAAGTTTCCAAGGGTATAAAGAAAAAAATAATTAAAAAAATCTCTGCTTGTTTGCACATAGCGTATAACGCGCTTTCCAGCTCACTCCCCGACGACCGTGCTTGCTTGCAGCTCATGCGAAACGGGGTAGGAGAGTGAGGATCCTGGGTATCCCGTGTCCCGGCAGCCGCTGAAGCCGGGCGAAGTGGGGGCGCGGTGGCCGTAGCCCTCTGGATGTTCGGCCACCACCACTCCATCACACACAGTCGGCCGCGGAGGGAACTCTGCAGCGGGGCCGGGCTGCGGGCATCGCGGAGAACCGGAGTCTCACTGAGGGACCGCGGGGTTCGTGCCCGAGAGGCGGCCAGGCCCCTTTGAGGATACCCCGTCCCGTCGGGGCTCCCATCGCGCCCTTGCCCGGCACCTCTCCTCACCGGCCCCCGCTGCAAAAACACCTCCGACCACCTGAGAAAATAGTGACCCCCCGTCCCTGTTTGAATGGGTTCATTTCTTGTGCTCAGTGGAGGATTGCAAAGCAGCTTGACCAAATCGATGTATGTGAGACGCAGAAAAGGAGAATTTTCCTAAAACAGTTGATCACCCCTACACTTCGAGAGAGGAGGAGAGAAAGAAGAAAAAAATATTTTCAGTACAGCGGGCGTCTGGCTCTGATTGGTGTAGTCCCGGCTTTAAGGAGGAACAAATGGATTTTTAAGCGGGGAAGAATCCACCTTATATATAAAAATAAAGAATTCTTCACTTCATTTTTTTCCCAAGGATGAACATTTCCAGAAGTTTACACCCTTTTCCTTCATCATCCGAAAATAGTATCTTTCCCTCTCAACCACAGAACATCTTTAGACTTTGAATTTTACTGTAAGCTCTTCCTTGTCTTTTGCTTTGCAATTGATGTTCATTATGATGCATTTTCTATTTGGGGCAATACTGTGGAAGGCATGGAATATTCCCCATAGGAAAAATTGGTTTCTCTGCGTTTCTGTATGTTGTATTTGCTTCTCTTTCCCCGTAGAGTAATGTAATTTGCATTGCTCATTTCCTAATGCATCCTATCAACCTGCACCTTCTGCAGCTCCTTTATTTCTTTTTTCTTTTTTTTTTAGTTTTTTTCATGACTATTCCTTATTCTAAGTACCTATATACATCAACTTTAACCTATTAAATGAACAAACTTTAACTAAACTTCTTTCTTTTGTAGTCAATTTGGAAGATTCTTATTCTCTGGTGCTCTAACTCCCATCTTATCCAAATCATGAGTCTCTCTGCTATCACTTTTATTTTGGTTTTGTTTTTTTTCAGAGCTCACTGATTAAAAATAAATACTAATTATTAAATCTGATTTGTACAAAGCATGCTATCAAAGGCTTACACTTTCTCTGAAACCCTCCGTTTTCTATTCTGCACCTAAACAAGAGACTTTACTCCTTGAAACAGGGATCCCTCACAAGAGGGGAGGATT